CCTCGGCCACGAGTTCAGGGCACCGCACGGACCCGCCGCTCCCGGCCGTGGGTGTTAAATTGCAGCTCCTGCTTTCCAGCAGCTGTGGCATCTGATGTGCGTGGGGCGGGAGTGAGCGAGGCCACGGTTCTTTTATGTAATGTAAGGTGTGGAGTCTTACCTGCAGTCCCAGCCCACCCCCCGCCGGGACCGTCCGGCGCAGTCCCCCGGTCCTCATCCCAGCGGCCGAGAAACAATGTTTGAGGAGTTCTCCTCTCCTCTGGAACTACAGCAGAGATGATGGCATTCACCATTTCTGTTTGCAGTTTTCCTCAGGTACTTAGGTAGTCATCACCGCTGTCCTAAGAGGCGAGTCCTGTGTTCCCCTGCTGATGTAAATGGATACGCCAAGATCCAGAGGAGTTAATTAACTTGCCCAAAGCCACAGAGCCAGAGAGGCCCTGTTTCACCTTTTGAACCTCTGAGCAAGTGGACTGGGTCCTCTGCTTGCCAGTGACCTTCCATCCCAGGAGGACTCACAAGGGTCAACCAGAGGGTGGTTTGGAACAGCTGGTGACTGGGTGTCAATTCTGATCTGTTTCAGATCGCCATCCGAGCCTGCTTCCTTGGCTTTGTGTTTGGCTGTGGAGTGCTGCTCAGTTTTAGCCAATCTTCCTGGAATCATTTTGGCTGGTAAGAAATACTTGGGGACTGCTGTGTTTTGGGAGGGGGCGCAGGGTGGGGGCAGTTAGAGGGGCGTCAGTGGCATTCCTCCTCCTGGTGTCTGAGCTATGCTACAGGCAGAAAGTCACTGGGGGATGCATGCCTGCCCTTGATTCCCATTCCCACAGTGCATGTCTTGTTTTGCTTGTGCCAGTTACTTGATTGTCCTGGAGACAGAAGCAGGTCTCCCCACACCCTCTCCAAAGGTGACAGCACTGAGTGAGGCCACTTGCCCTTCCCAGAAGGGGGTGCAGGTGATGGGAGTGGTGGGAGGCAGCAAGGCTTTGGTTGCTCATCCTGAGTCTTTCAAGTCTGCACCCCCACAGGCAGCGTGGGACCTTTCCCTGCCTTAGGGCTTCTGTCCTTCAAGCCTTCGGGTCTCTGACCTGGCTGTGACCAGGGCTTCAAGCTAAAAAGCTTTATCTCCTATTGTCGTTGAGCCATCTAATCCTTCTATACTAGAATTATGTTAGTCTCTTGAACTTTCTAACATACATTACTACTTTACGTTGATAGCTACCTCTTTCTTTTAAAAAAATGTGTGTTGCTGCCAGGTACTGGTGGCTCATGCCTTGAGGATTCTAGCTACTCGGTAGGCTGAGATCTGAGGATTGAGGTTTGAAGCCAGCCAGGTTAGAAAATTCTGAGAGACTCTTATCTCCAGTTAACTAGCAAAAAGCTGGAAGTGGAGGGGTAGTTCAAGTGACAGGGTACCACCTTGAGTGAAGTGCACAGACCCCAAGTTCAAGTCCTAGTACCAAAGCACCTGTACACACGCACGCATGCACACACACACATACACACACACACACAGAGTATTAAAAAAGGACAAAAGGAACCAGGCACCAGTGACTCACACCTGTAATCCTAGCTACTCAGGTGACTGAGATCTAAGGATTGCTGTTCAAAACCAGCCTGGCAGGAAGTCTGTAACACTCTTATCTGCAATTAACCACCAGAAAACTGGAAGTGGCACTGTGGCTCAAGTGGTAGAGGGCTCGCCTTGAGCTGAAGAGTTGAGGGACAGCGCCCAGGCCCAGAGTTCAAGCCCCACAACTGACAAAAAAAAAAAGGAGCTGGGCACTGGTGCCTCAGACCCGTAATCCTAGCGTCTCATGAGGCTGAGATACGAGGGTCTCAGTGTAAAGTCAGCCCAGGCAAGAAAGGCTCTTATCTCTAAATTAATCACCTAAAAACTGGAAATGAAGCTGCAGGTAAAAGTGGTAGAATGCTAGCCTTAAGCAAAAAAGCTCAGGGACAAACCCTAGGCCCTGAGTTCAAGCCTCCTGATCAACAAGCATTCAAAATCATAACTCCATTAAAAAACCCACTTCCTGCAAACCACAGGGGGAAGGCTACACGTTGCTGTCTCCTGCCCACACAGCTGCCAGTGGCCTCACCATACTTTTAGGGACAGTTGAGACTCAAATCTGTATTTTTTTTTTTTTAATTTTTTTTGTTGGTCGTGGGGCTTGAACTCTGGGCCTGGGCGCTGTCCCTCAGCTCTTCAGCTCAAGGCGAGCGCTCTACCACTTGAGCTACAGCGCCACTTCCGGTTTTCTGGTGGTTTATTGGAGATAGGAGTCTCACGGTCTTTCCTGCCCGGGCTGGCCTTGAACCGCGATTCTCAGATCTCAGCCTCCTGAGTAGCTAGGATTACAGGCGTGAGCCACCAGCACCCGGCTCAAATCTGTATTTTTATTATGGCTAATTTAGTTCTCTTGCCCAGTTTACCTCTTTGTTGTTGTTTTTTGTTTGTTTTTGGTCAGTCATGGAGCCTGAGCTCTGGGCCTGGGCGCTGTCCCTCAGTTCTTCAGCTCAATTCTAGCACTCTACCACTTGAGCCACGGCACCCTTCCGGCTTTTTCTGCTTATGTGGTGCTGAGGAATCGAACCCAGGGCCTCATGCATGCAAGGCAAGCACTCTGCCACTGAGCCACCTTCCCAGCCTCCTCTCTTTGTTTTTTTTAAACAGGTATGTGTGCTCGCTGTCCTTATTCCACTATTCTGAGTACTTAGTGACAGCTGTCAACAATCCCAAAAGTCTGTCTTTGGACTCATTTCTCCTCAATCACAGTCTGGAGTACACAGTGGCTGCTCTTTCTTCTTGGATAGAGTTCACACTTGAAAATATCTTTTGGCCAGGTGAGTCTGCCCTCCCCTCCCCAGGGGAAGGGAGAAGAGCGCCTTGCCATGGGCTGAGAACATTGACATTGGTTCACCTTTCAGGTCTAATCTCCCCTGAGCCATTCTCCCCAGCCCTCTGTCCTCACTAAGCTATTTATAAGGAACAGGCTCCGCTTGCGTTCATTCTCTCACTCGCTGGAGAATTCCACTTCTAGAACTTGAATCCAGGACAGGTTGACCTTTTGCTTTCAACCTTGCATAACACAACACACAAATCTGATGGTTTTCATGTTGTAATCAGATGAAGTTTGCGTCCGTCCGTCTTCTGTGGGAGGAGGGATTTCACAGGAAGGTTTTATTAGCCAGCACCTTAGCATCTGGAGGCCCCTCTGAGACTGAAGTACTTTCTGTTGCCAGTGAAGAAACGTGTGTGTGTGCGTGTGTGTGCGTGTGTGTGTGTGTGCACGTGTGTGCGCACGCGCACGCTCGTGTGTGCTTCCCAAGATTCTGGCCGTGCTTCTCCCAGCCATCCTTATTCCTAATAGAAGGATGTGAGTGAGTGAGCGCTGCAGAGCCACCAGCCTAGCAGGAGCACGCTGTAATTGGCCTGTTGGTGTGTTACAGTAAATGGGTGATGCTGGGGGCCTGCATCATCCCTGTAATCCTGTCTATGCCAGCCTGGTCAGAGGTTTACCTGACTCCATCTCTAAAATAATCAGCAAAGAAGCAGGCCTGGAGGTGTTGGTCGAGTGCGGTAAAGTGCCTGCATACTGCCTAGCAAGCTCGAGGCTCTGCGTTCAAGCCCTAGTACTGTCAAAAACCAGTAAATAATAAAGCAAATGGATGAATAGCGACTCAGATGGGGGTGGGTCTTGTTTTCTTTTAACGTGATGACAAATACTAATTGCCCTTGGCCTGTTTTCTGATTTTTCTGTCTTTGGGGAAATAGGTTGAACGATGAAGGAGGGCGATGGGCAGTCCGGTGTCCTCACTGCCTATCCCTGATGTCTCTCTACAGAACTGAAGCAGATCACCTGGCTCAGCGCCACGGGGCTGCTGATGGTCATCTTTGGAGAGTGCCTGAGGAAGGCTGCCATGTTCACTGCGGGCTCCAACTTCAACCACGTGGTGCAAAATGAAAAGTCAGACACCCACACTCTGGTGACAAGCGGGGTATACGCTTGGTTCCGGCACCCTTCCTATGTGGGGTGGTTTTATTGGAGTATTGGAACTCAGGTATGACACAGGCTTCATTTACTCTTGTTTTATTTTTTTTGGTCGTGGGGCTTGAGCTCAGGACCTGGGTGTTGTCCCTGGGCTTTTCTGCTTGACTAGTACTCCAACACTTGAGCTATAGCACCATTTCCAGTTTTCTGGTAGTTTATAGTCTCATAGACTTTCCTGCCTGGGCTGGCTTTGAACCACGATCCTCAGGTCTCAACCTCCTGAGTAGCTAGGATTATAGGTGTGAGCCACTGGCACCTGGCTTCCCGGGGACTGATATCTAATGTTAGTTGGGGCAGATAACTATGTAGGGGTTTCTTTTTGAGGGTTAATATTTTTGAAGTGTACATATCACTCCCACATTTGCAGTCACATTTTCTAATAACAGATGATTATAGTCGAATAAAATAATAGTAGAGTGTCTGCCTAGCATGCATGAAGCCCTGAGTTCGATTCCTCAGTACCACATAAACAGAAAAACCCAGAAGTAGTGCTATGGCTCAAGTGGTAGAGTGCTAGCCTTGAGCTGAAGAGCTCAGGGACAGTGCCCAGGCCCTGTGTTCAAAGCCACAGGATTGGCAAAATAATAATTATAATAATTTGCTTTAAACACTTGCTCCCTGTGTACCTAAGTGGGTAGGGCCGTGATGATTTTCGTTGTTTTAGGCCATAGATATTTTTCACATTGTACTTCACCACGTATGTGTTTGTGTCAACGGAACATGTCTTCCTTGGAACAATTTTTTTTTTTTTTGTGCCAGTCTTGGGGCTTGAACTCTGGGCCTGGACGCTGCCCTGTAATTTCTTTTTTTTTTTTTTTTTTTTCGTTGGTCATGGGGCTTGAACTCTGGGCCTGGGCGCTGTCCCTCAGCTCTTCAGCTCAAGGCGAGCGCTCTACCACTTGAGCTACAGTGCCACTTGGAGATAGGAGTTTCACGGTCTCTCCTGCCCGGGCTGGCTTTGAACCGCGATCCTCAGATCTCAGCCTCCTGAGTAGCTGGGATTACAGGCATGAGCCACCAGTGCCCGGCCTTGCCCCGTAATTTCTTGTGCTCAAGGCCAGTACTCTGCCACTTGAGCCATAGCACCACTTCCCACTTTTTCTATGATTGGAGATAAGGGTCTCATGGACTTTTTCCTACCTGGTCTGGCTTTAAACTGCAATCCTTAGATCTCCTCCTGAGTAGCTAGTATTACAAGCATGAGCCACTGGTGCCTGGCTCCCTGGACCAGTTCTTACCCTTCCTTTTCATAAAACGGTATTTTCTGTCTTACTTCAAATACTGTTCATTATGCCCTAGATTGATTTCACCTTCACTGTAGTGGGTTGCAGTCTGCGGTCAGGAACGCTGCCATCATGGATGCCAAAAGGCTTTACACATCCACGAGGGTAATAGTACAGGCCCTGACCTGCCAGCCAGGCTGCTCCTGCTTGTCATCTTTTCCCTGTCACATGGAAGAGGAGATGACTGTGTGAGGTAGCAGCTATGAGGTGAATGGCTTCACGGTCACCAGTGGCTTGGCATGGTGCTGAGATGCCCAGAGCATTCAGCAATGCGGGGGGGGGGGGGGGGATGAGACGGGGGAGGGCTCAGCAGGTAGAGTGCTTGCCTAGCACTTGTAAGGCTCTGTGTTCCCAATACCACAAAGAAAGACAAAATGAAACTGCACACAGTGGAGAGAAGTGGTGGGAATTTGGTGTGTGCAGGGTGTTTTGGATAAAAGGCCCTGCTTGAGGAAGATCATGTCCATAGGGTGCCAGGTTGTCACCACCACTGGACAGGTGGGTTAGTTGGTATGATAGGGTCACAGGTGGGTTAGTTGGTTCCTTAGGGTCACGGGTGGGTTAGTTGGCACATAGGATCACGGGTGGTTAGTTGGCACATAGGGTCACGGGTGGGTTAGTTGGCACATAGGGTCACGGGTGGGTTAGTTAGTGCCATAGGGTCACTGGTGGTTAGTTGGCACATAGGGTCACGGGTGGTTAGTTGGCACATAGGATCACGGGTGGTTAGTTGGCACATAGGGTCACGGGTGGTTAGTTGGCACATAGGGTCACGGGTGGTTAGTTGGTACATAGGGTCACTGGTGGTTAGTTGGCACATAGGGTCACGGGTGGGTTAGTTGGCACATAGGATCACGGGTGGGTTAGTTGGCACATAGGATCACGGGTGGGTTAGTTGGCACATAGGATCACGGGTGGTTAGTTGGCACATAGGGTCACGGGTGGGTTAGTTGGCGCCATAGGGTCAGGAGTGGCTTCTAGGTTGCTGGGAATTCTTTGGGCTTCGGGAGACTTATTTGGCTATGGGTCTCTGGGGAGAATCAGAAAAATGAAGAATAGGGGCTGGGAAAGTGGCTTCAGTGGTAGAGTATTTGCCTTACATGACGCCCTGGGTTCGATTCCTCAGCACCACATAAGCAAAAAGAAAAAAAGCCAGAAGTGGCGCTGTGGCTCAAGTGGTAGAGCACAAGTCTTGAGCTGAAGAGCTGAGGGACAGCACCCAGGCCAAGAGTTCAGGCCCCACGACTGGACCCAAAAAAAAAAAAAATGAAGAACAGTGGGGAAAGGAGGCCGAGGCAGATGAACTGGCCTGAGCTTGTGGGAGGATTTTGCAGGATGAGGAAAATAAAATGGAGGAAGCCACCTTGGCCCAGTTTTGCTTGGTTTTCAGGCTTGGAGCTTTCTGGGCCATTATCTGTTGGAAGACGTGTATGTATATACTTGTAGGAGGGCTCTGGGCAGGGTCGGGACCACACTGATAGCATAGGTGTATAAGAGTACAGTATAAACTGGGTGCTGGTGGCCCACGCCTATAATCCTAGCTACTCAAGTGGCTGAGATCTGAGAATTGTGGTTCAAAGTCAGCCCAGCCAGGAAAGTCTGTGAGACTCTTATCTCCAATTAACAACCAGAAAACCGGAAGTGGTGCTGTGGCTCAAGTGGTAGAGCGCTAGCCTTGACCTGAAGAGCTGAGGGACAGCACGCAGGCCCAGAGTTCAAGCCCCACAACTGACAAAAAAAAAGAGTATAATGTAAGTGTGTGGAGGCAGGGGGACACCAGAATGAGCCCCTACATTGGAGAATTCACACCTGAGTGCAGGTGGGGGCATCTGGCATCCTGACCTAAAGGTTGGAGTTCAAGAGGTTGCTCCTTTCTTGTTACAGGTAACATGTGTGAGGGTCAGTGCTGGCCTGGCTCTCACAAACCCACAGAGTCCTGAGTGCCCTGAAATCCTGTGGGGTACAGAGACTGGTGCTCGGGTGTGGGTCGCTCTGACCTTGATCCTCTTGGCATGTCTCTGCCAGGTGATGCTGTGCAATCCCATCTGTGGTGTCGTCTATGCCCTGACAGTGTGGCGCTTCTTCCGAGACCGGACGGAAGAAGAGGAGATCTCACTCATTCACTTCTTTGGGGAGGAGTACCTGGAGTATAAGAAGAGGGTGCCCACGGGCCTGCCTTTCATAAAGGGCGTCAAGGTGGGGCTATGATGGGCTGGGGCCTGGCTGGACTGAGGGTCTCGGACCCCCCACAGCCCTAGACAAAACAGCTTCCAGTTGGCCACTATAGAATGAATTTTCTTAATAATTTTATACGTCAATAACTACTCTTCTGGAATGTCACCCAAGACCAAATGGTCAGAAGGCCTTAGGACCAAAGGACCCATTGGAGCAATTAATTTTTGTGCTGAATCAAGGTAGGACACAGATTAGCAATGAACAAGGCACAAATCACAGCAATATTCATCAGTGCCCTTGCAGAGAGGCCTGGTGAGAACCCAGGTCACTCCCAGTGCCCCCGAGGCTGGAGTGTGACCCTGTGACCCAACCCGAGAGATAGGTGCTGCTCGCTGCCGAGCTCTGCCCAGGAAGGGCCATGATGTGGCCACCTATCAGCACTGAAAATGCACCGAATCCTTTCACTGAACAGAAAACACAGCAGCACAGCTTTAACCTCTACCGCATCCTTGAATGCATGAACATCTATACAATGCTAAAGACCCTTCTGTGACATCTTGGCTCTTCCCACATTTAACCCTACTTACGCATCTACTCATAAGCAGCCTAGGTTCAAAGGGTCCCACTTGTTATTTCCATCTCCAGGTTTTATTAGGTAGTCAGTAAGCACAGACCCTGGGTCCCGTTGTCATGTCGTTTTTGTGTGACTTTGGCACCCCAGGCATGGGGTGGGGGGATCAAAGGCCTTTTGGCTCTCCTGGGGTCTGACCTCCCCGACTCCTGTAATAGAAGAAGTGCTTACTGAAGTCTTTCCCAGGCAAGGAATTGCTATGTATTGAGAAATGCTGCCCTCCATTTATTTGAGGTTTTTATTTTCCTCTTACCATAGCTCATAGTTCTGAGCTTTAGTGTAAATCTACCACACACTGTTTTCCGTTCTTGGGTCCCACCCTACCAATTCTGTCCTAAGCTGTCTTCTCTGCCACACCACACACGACTAAATTCAGGCCAGTCAACCGGGTAGAGCAGCTAGCCCAGCCAGGGCTCGGGCGGCACTTTTTCTGCAAGTTTGTGGGGAAAATTTGGCTTTTTATGTCAAACATGGAAGATTTTGTCGGGATTTGAGCACTGCTCAGCCTGACCACGCCCCTTGACTCTATGACTTCCCCACCCGCAGAATGGGGCCGGTACCACCTACCTCTCAGGGGTGTTAAGAGGACTTGAGACAGTCAGACATCCTCGTGTATAGGAGAGCGGTGGGAGAAGGAAGTTATATGGTCTAAGAACTGCACAGAATGGACTTGTATTCGTTTAACTGAGCAGATACCTAAGTGTGTGTGTGTGTGTGTACATGTGTATATATATACACACACATACGCTATATGTATACAGCGTATGTGTGTGTATTTATATATATATATATATTCAAGAGAACATTTTACCAGCTGAGAAATCGTACTTATTTCTAGATTCATGGCTTGATTTTTCAGTGTTATATATACCAAAGAGGCTGTGGGTTTGCCCATACATGGCACTGGCTAGAGAACCTCCTGAGGCCTTGCAGAGGCCTCCCTTGAAGGGGACAGCAGCACAGTCCCTCCCGAGTGAGCTGTGGAGGGGTCATGGGTGGAGTCGGTCCTCAGCTTCTCCAGACCATTCCCACCAGAGCAAATCCCCTTGCCAGGACTGCAGGCAGAGGAGGCGGGCATGGGTTCTGGCAGCTACCCCTGCTCCTTGAGGCAGAGTTCTTTTAACACATCTGAGCAGAACTGGACCCAGCCTCCGAGGCCCTTGGGGGCAATGAAGTTGGCTTTTTGAAGGATGAAGAGCAGTTAATGACAGCCCCTGACCTTGTGGATGGTTGGCATTTGGTGCCACCTTGCGCCTGCCAGAGACCAGCAAGCTGAGCAGCATGCCAGGACCTAGACAGGAACCCAGGCCTGGGAGTGTCCCATGCTGCTTCCCAGCCCATACCCCAGAGGCTTTAGGAAATCGAGGTGGGTACAGAGATGAAAATCCCACCCTCCTGTCCAAGGGTGGAGTTAGCAGATGGGGGGGCGGGGCAGCATTGGAGGGTTTGATACCCCTGAGGTGGAGAATCAGGCCAATGAGGGAAAGACTTCAGGTCTCACAAGACAATTTCCTTCTTTTAAGAAACTCAGATTTGCAGTGGAGAATCTCAAATGGAGTGTGGTTCTGCATAGACACAAAGCTGCCTGGAGAATCTCCTGGTTCTCTGCTGCCCAGCCAGGGTGGCAGTTTGCAGAAGGGGCTGTGCCCAAGCCAACTTGTGGGGTAGGAAGCAGACAGTGGCCATGTCTCTGCCCCCTTCCTTAGTAAGAATGGCCTCTTGAGCCAACAGTACCTTTCTGAATCCCTCCTGCCTATTCAGGGTTGGTATGTGAGGGAAAAAGTCTTAAACCAGGCTGTGTTAGCAGTCAGATTTGGGGAGGTCTCAGCCACAGCTCCTTGGTCGCGTGTCCCTGTAACAGGCAGGTGGCCCCCCATTCCTTCTCTGCACTTTCTCACTGCCGTAGGCGGTATGACCCTCACCGTAATTTGCTTTCACAGTGGCCTCTCTGAGTGGGGCATGCTCAGTGCAGCTCTGAAAAGCTTGACCTTTGACCTGTGCTTAGGGTTAGGGTCCCCCTCACAACCCATCCTGAGTGGAGGCAGCCTGGACTGCCATAAGGAGAGGGAGTTACAGAGTAATTATTCTACTCTTCTTTTTACATACAGAAATGTTTATTTAAGTATATGAAATGGGATTTTCTTTCACAGATACTAATTATTTCCAATTAAATAAAAATACTTGATTTCACTCGGGGCGACTGTGTCACTCTGGGGGTACAGAAGCTCGAAGGTGATCGGGGTGGCTGGGTGAGCAGAATCCACAGCAGCTAGCCCTCAGGTCCACTGTTGGTGCCTCCTTGGCTCTGTTTTGAATTCTTCTAATCAGTTTGTGATGATGAATTCCTCTGCCCTCAGACACGGTTCAGGGCATGGGTGTCAGTGTGACTGAGATTTCGTATTGATGTGCCAGCCTCCCTGGTATCATTTGCTGGATATTTGCTTAAAGTGTGGCTCTCTGGGCACCATTTGGCCTCCAAAACTTTTAAATGCAGCTTAGTTTTTAAAAGCATTTATTAAGCTCCTCAGTGCATAGAAATGGGTTGCAGCCATGTGCCGTCTGGGAAAGAGGTGGCATGGAGCAGCTGCCCTCTGCCACAGGCTGGCCAGAGGCCTCTGGGCTTTAGGGCCCGGCCCTCACTATGGCAGTTCTTTGCCCTTTTGTGAGTCTGCTCAGATTGTTGGGTGGAACTTTGCAGTGGCGTCAGGTCAGCAGTGAACTGTGATTCGGGGATGTGACTCATTCAAAGCAATGCAGGTGCTATGCAGTCCTGACATCTTGTTAAACCCAGGCCAGCCGGTGCCGGTGGCTCATGCCTAGAATCCCAGCTACTCAGGAGGCTGAGATCTGAGGATCCTGGTTCAAAGCCAGCCTAGGCGGGAAGTTTGTGAGACTCATCTCCAATTAACAACTTAGAAAAAGCCAGAAGTGGCAGTGTAGGCTTGAGCAAAAGAAGTTCAGGGACAGAGCCCAGATTCAGAGTTCAAGTCCCATGTCTGGCAAAAACAACAAAACCCAGGTCAGCAGCCCCCCCCTCTTTTTTTTTTTTTTTGGGTCTGGTTGTGGAGCCTGAACTCTGGGCCTGGGCGCTGTCCCTCAGCTCTTCAGTTCAAGGCTAGCGCTCTACCACTTGAGCCACAGAGCCACTTCCGGCTTTTTTCTTTTTGCTTATGTGGTACTGAGGAATCGAACCCAGGGCCTCAGGCATGCAAGGCAAGCGCTCTACCACTGAGCCAACTTCCCAGCCCCCAGCAGCCCCTTTTATCATCTGAACACGGGGCCAGGTCCCCAGACACCTAACATGCAGGTGCTGGGCCAGTGGACGACTCCAGGCTGCTTCACATGGGCAGAGATATGGTCCTGGGGTCACCTTGGTGCCATAGGAGCACAGACAAAAGTGAAGCAGGCTGGTGAAGGCCCAGTGTACAAAGTCAGGGTGGGGCTGGGTGCTCTCCATGGCGGGTGTCACCCCAGTGCTCTGCTTGGGTGTGAGGTCTAAGAAGCCACTCAGGGCCCTGCTGTTGGCTGTAGGTTCGGATGCCTCTCTCTCTCCTCTGTGATACTTACTGGATCATTCCTAAAGGAACGGTTCAGTGTGAGGACATCTGCCTTGCTCCTGGGCTGTGTCCACTCCTGCCAAAGTTTCACAATAGACATTTTTTTTTTCTTTGTGCCAATCCTAGGACTTGAACTCAGGGCCTGGGTTCTGTCCCTGAGCATTTTCCCCCCTAACATTTTTGCTCAAGGCTGATACTCTACCACTTGAGCCACAGGTACCCCTTCCAGCCTTTTTGGTGGTTAATGGAGATAAGAGTCTCACACTTTCCTGCCCAGGTTGGCTTTAAACCATGATCCTTAGATCTCAGCCTCCTGAGTAGCTAGGATTAGAGGTGAGCACCCAGCTGGTATGTATACGTGCATGCGTGCTCCAGTACTGGGGCTTATACTCAAGACCTGCAAACTTTCCCTTGGCTTTTTGCTCAAGGCTAACACTACCACTTAAGCTCCAGGTCCAGTTCCAGCTTTTATTTTTTTGTCATGGGGCTTGAACTCCAGGCCTGGGTGCTGTCCCTCAGCTCTTCAGCTCAAGCGCTCTACCACTTGAGCCACAGCACCACTTCCAGTTTTCTGGTAGTTTACTGGAGATGAGAGTCTCATGGACTTTCCTGCCCAGGCTGGCTTTGAACTGCGATCCTCAGATCTCAGCCTCCTGAGTAGCTAGGGTGACAGGCATGAGCCACTGCTGCCTGGCTCAGTTCCAGCTTTTTGATGGTTAATTGGAGATGAGTGTCAGATTTTCCTTTCTGGGCTAGTTTCAAACCATGATTCTCAGATCTCAGCCTCCTGAGTAGCTAGGATTGTAGGCATGAGCTGCCAGCGCCCGGCTGGAGGCCCAGCAGGTGACCACATCTTCAGATCCAGAAAGACCTGCCTCTCATGGAAGATTCTCCCTTCATCTCTGAGTGGCTCCAATCCCCAGGAGACTGCAGTTGTCTGCCAGACAGGGGCACACTGGGGCTGTTTGAGTGGTTCAGCTTGGGGCGGAGGTTCTGGGGAGCATCTGAGGCTGGGTGGAGGGTGGGACCTGTCTCTGCTGTCTCCAGCCACGCTGACATTCGAGGCAGTTCAAACCTCCAGGCTCTCCCAGCTTTGACTTCACAATGCCATCCACATCTTACTGAGGACCACAAACACCTAAGACCAATGTGACTGATGTGTCTGTTCCCACTCACTGTTTTCTGCCTCAGGAAGTATTGGCCAGTAAGTAGCTCTAGGAAACTGAGCACACACCACAAAATCACCCTCATTCACCTTTCCTATCACAGAACTTGAGCCCCTTGTAAGAACTTGGTGGTGTAAGTGGACAGAGGCAGCAAACACTGCCATTTGTAATTGTGAAGTAACCCTAGCTAAGCCACATCTGTCATCTAGGAAGTCACTTGTGAAGCACTCGCCCAGGTTTCAAGCCTCTCTGGCCTCTTTATTTTACAAATTGAAGCCCAGAGGCTTGGCACTGGTGGCTCACACCTGTAATCCTAGCTCCTTAGGAGGCTAAGATCTGAAGATCCCAGTACAAAGTCAGCCTAAGCAGGAAAGTCCATGACACTCTTATCTCCAATTAACCACAGCAAAAGCTGGAAGTGGCACTGTAGCTCAAGTGGTAGAGTGCTAGCCTTGAGCAAAAAGGAGCTCAGGGACAATGCCCAAGCCCAGAGGTTGAGCCTCAGGAATGGTAAAAAATACAAAATTTGAGCCAGGTGCCGGTGGCTTATGCCTGTAATCCTAGCTATTCAGGAGGCTGAGATCTGAGGATCCCGGTTCAAAGCCAGCCCAGGCAGGAAAGTATGTGAGACATCTCCAATAAACCACTCAGAAAAACCAGAAATGGTGGTGTGGCTCAAGTAGTAGAGCGCTCGCCTTGAGCTGAAGAGCTTAAGGACAGCACCCAGGCCCAGAGTTCAAGCCCCACGACCAACAAAAAAATGTGAGGCTCCGCCAAGGTCATAGACATGGCCAGCACCAAGCCAAGACCAGAGGGACCTTTGCATTTTGTCTCTCAAGTGCCAGCACTTGTCCACTCAAGTTGGAAAGACATGCTGTACCTGGCCAGCGCCTCACTGTTCCTGCTGTCATCATGTGCGTTCTGCAGGCGCTCTGACTGCTCGTCTGCAGGTGCCTGGATGCTTCAAGGTAGCAGACTATCCACTGCATGGCCCTGGGCTCACACCGCACCCACATCAAACGGAAGCCAACACTTCGGGGCCCACTGACACTTCCCTCCAAGTCCTGGAGTATTTGCCAATGTCCAGTTGTTTACCAGAGTTGGTAAACCACTGGCTGCCGTAAAGGATGGGAGGGCAGAGGCCTGGCCCTTGGGGGAGGTAGGAAAGGCAGAGGAAAGGCAGAACTTTTTTTGCTGCTTTTTTTTGGGGTGGGGTGGGGACGGGAAGGGGTCAGTCGTGGGGCTTGAACTCTGGGCCTAAGCCCTGTCTCTGAGCTCTTCAGCTCAAGGCCAGTGCTCTACCACTTGAGCCACAGCACCACTTCTGGTTTTCTGGTGGTTAATTGGAGATGAGTCACAAACAGGCTGGGAATGTGATTCAGTGGTAGAGTGCCTGCCTACATGCACAGAGCGCTGGGTTTGATTCTTCAGCACCACATAAACAGAAAAAGCTGGAAGTGGTGCTGTGGCTCAAGTGGTAGAGCATTAGCCTTGAGCAAAAAGAAACTCAGGGATAGTGCTTAGGCCCTAAGTTCAAGCCCCAGGACTGGCAACAACAACAACAAAAAGTCATGAACATTACTGGTTGGGTTGACTGAACCGTGATCCTCAGATCTCAGCCTCCTGAGTAGCTAGGACAAAAGGTGTGAGCCACCAGCACACAGCTTTTTTTTTTTTTTTAAATAGCATCCTGATACATTTGTTATTAGTTTTTTGTTTTGTTTTGTTTTTGGTGCCAGTCCTGGGGCTTGAACTCAGGTCCCGGGTGCTGTCCCTCAGCTTTGTTGCTTAAAGATAGCACACTTTCTACCACTTGAGCCACAGCTCCACTTGCAGCTTTTTCTGTGATTAATTGAAGACAAGAGTCTCATGGACTTTCTTGCCCAAACTGGCTTTGAACTGTGATCTTCAGCTCTCAGCCTCCTGAGTGACTAGGATTACAGGCGTGAGCCACCAGCACCCGACAGTTACGGGCTTTTACAAGATCACCAGCTATGTAGCATGCTGAAGGAGCTGGGGCGGCTGGCTCTGGTGGCCTAGATTTGGGGATGGAAGCAGCAGGGCACTTAGTTGATGGCTGAAACACAGTTCAGTTACAGAACTTGAGCACGGGAATGGGAATGGAGCAGCGAGAACAGAAGTCAGGGCAGCTCCGGGGCTTTGAGCAGGTGTTACCATTGACTGAGATGGGGAAACGGGTGTGCTGTGGGGGAGGAGAGGACACCAAGGGCTCTGCCAGCCACTGGTGGGCTTGGACACCCTGGCAGAGATGCCAGGAGGCAGCCAGAGGTGAGTCTGGACCCAGCACTTGCTGGGGAGGGGGGAGGGCTGGGGGTGGCTGCACTGCAGGAATGCTTTAATGCCAAGGGTGCAGCTCAGTGCTAGCACGCTTAGCATGCTCCAGGCCCTGGGTTCAGAAAAAATAATGTGCCTGGTGTCTGCACCTATAATCCAGCTTTTCAGGCTGAGCTTGGAGGAGCGGAAGTGCCAGGCCAGCCTGGCAAAAGGCTGGGAAGTAGATGAAGTCACTTAAAAGAGGGCGCAGGGTGAGGAAGAAAGCCTTAGATGAGCCCAGGGGAAGGTGCTATGCTGGCAGCATGGCGAGGAAAGAACAGCTTCCTGGAACCAGAAAGGAATGGATGGCTAAAAACGGGGGGACTGGGAGCGTGGGGTGTCATATGCAAGAGCAGGGCATGCCATACACGTACCCAGAATGCGGCTGCAATTAAACAGGATCATGGGGACAGGAAAGGGGACAAGACAGATTCCTGGCTGAGTGGCTGGCATAGAAGGGGGCAGAGGACGGGGTGCCTTGAAGACGAGCAGACCATCTCAGCCTAGCCAAGCCTCCGGGAGCAGGGCCCAGCCTTCTGTCCTGCCGAAACCACAGCTCTCCTGGCACGGTGGCCTTGCCAGCAGGGTCCCCTTGGGAGCAGGCAGCAGCACACACGCAGAGTGAGCTTCCCACAGAATCAGTGCACAGAAAGAAAGCTCATGCAGTCTAGTTCCATGCTATGGAACATGACAAAGTCTGGTCAACATCCAGGTCAGCATCGGTTCATCCGAGGCCCCTTCTTGTCCCTTTCTGCCACAGCCCAGGACAACCATCCCTGCTGTTCACACACACATTGGTTGCGCCTGGTTTGGAGGGAAGTTATAGTGCCTGGAGTGAACAACTGCATGTCAGGGGAGGAGCCCATGTGGCAGGAATTATGGCAAATAGCAGCAGAAACTGGCTTCAGCCGAGTGCTGTGCACTGTGCCAAGTCCAACCTCTCAGGGTGACAGAAGGGCTCTAGTGGCTCACGCCTGCCATCCTAGTGACTCAGGAGGCTGAGATCTGAGAATCATAGTTTGAAGCCAGCCCAGGCAGGAAAATCTGTGAGACTCTTATCTCCAATTAACCATCAGAAAACCAAAAATGGAGTTCAAACCCTGCAACTGACAAAAGAAAAAGCTGGAGGGCTGGGGATGTGGCTCAGTAGTAAGAGTGCCTGCCTAGCATGCATGAAGCCCTTGGTTCAATTCCTCAGTATCACACACACAGAAAAGGCCGGAAGTGATGCTGTGGCTTCGATGGTAGAGTGCTAGCCTTGAGCAAAGGAAGCTCAGGGACAGTGCCCAGGTCCTGAGTTCAAGCCCCAGGACTGGCAAAAAAAAAAAAAAAAGATGGAAGTGTAGCTGTGGCTCAAGTAGTAGATCATTAGCTTTGTGCACAATTGCCCAGGCCCTGTACTGGCATATACTGAAATATACAAACACCCCCTCCTCCACACATACACACAAAGCTGGAAGTGGTAAAGCATCAGCCATGAATGAAAAAGCTAAGCAAGAGCATGAGTCCTGGATTCAAGCCTGCTATAAACACATATACAAAAAAAGGTGTGTGCGTGTGCACACAAGTGAAACCCATGCTGTCCAGGGCATTAGCCACCTCGGCTGGTTACACACACACACACACCCAATTCCTCCATCCCCAAATTCATTAAAGGTCTATTGAAAAGAATAAGGTCTCGAACGTAAATGACACTTGCATGCTAGAGGGGGGGAGCAGGGGAGCCTGCGTGACTCAAGCAGCAGATCCTGTGCTGGGAGCAGATTTGCTACCAGCTAGGCCCTCGCTCGTTCTACTCAGAGCCAATAGCCCCAGGGTCCCTGCCACTAGTAACTGTTGCTTTTCCACCAAAAGCACACACAATCACATCGGAACTGGCTGAAGGCCAGAGCACTGGGTGTGGCATGCAGGGCAACTCCAGAGGCCTTCCAGGGTGGGGGTGGGGTGAGGAATGAGGACAGCAGCTTCAGATGGGAATATTCCACAAACAAGAAGACACCAAACACCACACACCCAAGTCACACCTACACTTTTGTCTCTAGTGGAGCACCAGCCTGTATGCACAGCGCTTCCAGGGCTGCAGGGAGCTATCAGTGTCTACAAGCAGGCTCTCAGTAATCATTACTTTGTAAATGCCTAGGGTTCTGTCCAGAACCCTCCATCCTAGCCTGCTGAATTAATTCCCTAAAGAGGGTGGCTCCTCTTCCCTCACTCATTCTGAATTGTCTGCAGCCCTTACGTGGGCTCCAGCCGCTCCTTCACCTTGGCGATGGAATGAACATAGGGCATGATCTGCTTGGTGATGGTGGTCAGGTAGGCATTCTCCTGCTTCAGCTGGAGAAGGTCATGGAGCTGGGCTGCAGGTGCCAAAATCACGGTGTTGGGCTTTGGCAGTGTCAGACTCTTACCCTCAAGCCTGGCACAATCTAAAGATCCGGGTCTTGCAGTGATCTCTAAAGGGCACAGCATTTGGTGCAGGAAGCTAAGCAAAGCTCTACAGGAAAGAACATGGGGAAGAGCCATGCATTGTTAACAGCTGGCTAGCGCACAGGTTAGCTCCAGCATGGGGAAGTGGCTCAGCAATCAACCACTGCCTGGGACCTTCATAAATCTCCTGCTCCTTAGCCATGTGATGGTAGGATTCCTCCCAAATCTGAAAGAAAAGGGCGATGCTGGGGATGCCACTGCTGAGTAGGATCCCTCCCACCCCCCCCCCATACTGTTCTGGTACTTAAATTCAGTGCATGGATGCTGTCCCTTATCTTCCTCTTAAGGCTGGGATTCTACCACTTGAGCCACAGCTCCACTTCTGGCCTTTTTTTGGGTGGGGGTGGGGGTGGTTAATTGGTGATCAGAGTCTCATGGATTTTCCTGCCTGGGCTGGCTTCAAACCATGATCCTCAGATCTCAGTCTCTTGAGTAGCTAGGATGACAGGCTGAGCGACTGGCTCCCAGGTAGTTACTTTTGAGAGATTTGCGTTTTTGCCAAGGTGGCTTTCTGTGTGTCTGGGATGATACAGACATGACAGGTATACAACGTTCTGTTGTTGAGATCTCAAGAACTTTTTGCCCAGGCTGGCCTTGAACTGTGATCTTTGAGATGACCACTTCCTAAGAAGCTAGGGTTACAGGCATGCACCACTATGTCTAGCTCCACTAGAAGCAATTCTGCTTCAGAAACTCCTACTTGGATGGCTGGAGGCTTGACTCAACAGTAGAGCACTGCCTAGCAAGCACGGGGCGCTGAGTTCAAGTCTTAGTACTACCAAAACAATAAGAGAGAAATGTCGGCTTGGAGCATCGTCTTTCCCCTCGGCCCAGCTGGGTCCACACGGTGTCTGATGGCAGAGCCTAAGGTCCCAACACCCCTCCCTCGGGTGGGGCGCCGGCCCAGGCCCGCCTCTTCCGGTCGCGGGGCTCCCGAGGGCTACCTCCTGGAAGACAGCTCTCTCGGAGGCGATCTGCGCGTCCAGCTGCAGGGACCTGCGCAGGATGTCCCCCATGATCTCGGCCTTGATGAGCGAGTGGTGCTTGGTGAGGTCGCGGTGCAGCTCCTGCACCTGATCCTTCAGGCTCTGCACCTCCCCCTGCAGCCCCTGCGCACGGGCGGGGGGGGGGGGAGGCGGGGCGCGGCTACCTCAGGAGAGGGCGGGGCCTGGCGAGGGGCGGAGCAGGACGGGGCGGGGTTACCTCAGGATGGGGCGGGGTCTGGAAGGGCGGGGCTAATGCGGGGAGGGGCAGGACGCGACGGGGTGTGGCTACCTCAAGACGGGGCGGGGCGTTACTGACTTCCGGGGCGGGGCGGGAGCCGTCCCCGCCCACACTCACCCGGTAGGACTCTTCGTAGCGCCGACCCCGCTCGGTGAAGGGCGTGTCCGCGCCCTCGGCCAGCAGCACCTGGGTGCTGACGGCTCCGTGCGGCGAGGGTTTCCGGACCGGCGACCCTGACCCCTTCCCCGCTGGGGAGGGGCAGCGGGGCCCCCGCAGCGCCTGGGGTCCGGAGCCCCCGGCCAGCCTGCGGAGAG